TTAATTTAAATATATGTATATATAAAAATATTAATTAAAAATATAAAAATAGATACAAAAGTAAATATTGAAAAAAACATACTACCATATACTTGGGTATAACAACTTGATAGCTTGATTGACATAGTGGTGTGGTATTGCAATTTTTTTATTGTATATTTTAAATATAATTAATTATATATCCTTAATAAAACAAACATGACTTGGATATTTAATTATTTCCTTGTATGTGAATACCTCCATTCATCAAATATTCATGATAGTCATGATTATTATTCAATACCATCATTGACATAACAAACAATTGCATCACCCAAGTAATGATAAGCCAAGGCCATGCATGAATGAAACTTTTAATAATGTGTGACTATCCAGATCTCTGGGATTCCTGATTATCAATTATGGTTCCTTATGAACAATAAATCTGATGTTATTGCAGGTGTCAGATTTAATAAAAATTTCCTATCACAAACATGCAAGCGAATGCAATTGCAAACCCTAGCACCATGGAATTTTTTCCACGAGTACGGGCAAATTTGAACATGTACAAATTTGTACCAATTGTGAAAAATTATTCAAGTCAACGGAATACGATTCATTTGAAAAACAAAGTTTATTGGAAATTCTTAAAAGGGATGATTTAGTTGTCGACGAAATAGAAATCTGGGAAAAGATTCTTAAATGGGGATTGGCAAAACATCCAGGTGTTAATAACAATGTTGACTGTTGGTCGATTCAAAATTTCACTCATTTAGGAAACACTTTAAAAGAATTCGTTTATTTAATTCGATTCAAGGATATTTCTAATAGAGATTTCTTCAACAAAATTGTGCCATACCGATTGCTTTTCCCAAAGAAATTATGGTTAAAAATTTTAAATTATTATATTGTTCCCGAAGATCAACCATCTTTAAGGGTAGGGGGGAATCACGTGATAAATCAATAGTAAATCATGGATCAAAAAAATTTTTTATTGGTTTCAATGTTGATCATCACAAAATGTCCAATAAGTTTTCCTATTACTATGATAATAATAAATTTTAAGTATTTTAAATGTGAAATGAATATTTGTTACTAAGGGATGAGTATATGTTAATATGGGATGAGTTCTTTTTAATATGGGATGAGTTATGGGATGAGTTTCTCTAATTAGGGATGAGTTTGTTTTTTGAAGAATTTTAAAAGAAGATTTTATTCAAAAACACTTTCAATAACTACTATACAGCAGAATACACATATAGAATAACACAGGAGTTATTTGAATGCATCTCATGTAGCTTCACCTTTAAGACAATTATTGATTTGGAAAAGTCAAATTTTGATCCCGGATTTTGTATTAGATTATCACGTGATTCCCCATACCCTTAAGGCATCAAAATTATTTTGGGGTTGCTAAATTAATTAATGATCTGCAAGACCATTTGAAATAAAGACGCAAAATGTCTTCAAGAAGAAAACCATTTAGAACCCCTCATAGCTCAATCAATATTGATAAGATCGCATCTAGACGAAGAAAAGATTTTGAACATACTCTAAGAGATTGTGATGAATTATTAAATTTTATTGCACGTGGATATGTATATGCAACTGAAAGTGCTGTTGATTTAGAAGAAGGTGGATCTGAGGATGAGGTTTTTACTTAATTATTCATCAAAACAGCTTTAATTAAAAACATCGATAATGTATAATATTAATTAATTAATTAAGGTAAAACAATTTGATGATAATATGAGAAAACTTGTGGATTTTGAGACTAAATTAAAAATAGAAAAAGAATCGATAGAAAAAATTATTGTCAAATGTGATTCAGGACAAGAAATTGTAATAGCACTAATATTAATTAATATTAATAATACTTTATTTAATCTTAATAATTATTATCATTACTGATATAAAAAAGGACTTATTGGATTCTCATGAAGAAGAAATAAAAAGATTAAACATAATTTTTGATAACAAAAGTGAAAAAGAAAAATATTTTCAAAATGAACATTATAACGAATTTAGACAAAAAGTTTGGGTAAACTCTACATAATATAAGATATTATCACTTGATATATTTATTATTTATTATTGTTATTAAATTTCAATCAATTTACAACTAACTTGGCTAAATAAGGATGTAAATCATCAAGATGAACCTATGCCACCATTAGATGCTGACGCAGATGACGATGTTGTAGTTGGTAGACAGAAGGAATCTTTAAAATGTCCAATTACTACATTGTTATATGAAGAGCCAGTCACAAGGTAAGCTTAACCATTCATAGTAATATGAATAAGAAATATGAGAAGATGTTAAATATAATTATTAATAATGAATGCTTTATTCCTATGATTTAGTAATGTTTGTAAACATACATTCTCAAAAAGTGCAATTTTACAATTGATTTCACGCAATAAAGATGTTGTTTGTTGTCCAATACCTGGTACAATAATAAATATTTCTATCATTGTTTCTATCATTATTCCTTCGTTATTGATTTAATTAAATTTAATCAATCCAGGTTGCGATAAACAAATAATGACACATAATCTTCAACCCAATAAAAGAATGGAAAGAAAAGTTGCCATTGCTAAGAGAGATGATCAAATGGAAGATTTAGAGGTAAACTAAAAATTATATTAATCTTCTAATATTAATAAACCAATTTGTCAATTAATAATACTAACAATATAAATTTTGTTTTGTTTTAGTATACAAATGTTGAATAGTTAATAATATTATTATTAAGAGGGAGAAAGTCACATAAAAATAGAAAATTGCTAAATCCTCCTGAACAAGACTTTTTTGTATATTATAAAATGAGAAAAAAATTAGCTTAGAGTAAATTTTCTCTTTTATTAAATCTTATCATTCTTAAAATTTCACGATTCTTTATGAACAAGCATTTTATTAAGATTACATCTTTTTATTTATTTTTCTTTAGATTAGATTCTTCTACTTCTATTGCAAAGTAGAATTGATATGGTTGTGTTAAATTTTCATTTTTTTATATTTAAGTTATTTATTCTTTTTTGTTAAATATTAAACATGTAATTAGTAATATTTATCTTTTATATTGTCTGACAATTGGTATTCAAATGTATAACCCAGATGCTACACCTACAACAACAGCAATTAAAATTGGCAAATATAATTAATAGCACAAATTTTTTTGGAGATCAAATTTTCAAGGTTCCTTTACAAAACACATCTCATTTAACCAAGTGTTAGATTCATTTAAATGATTTAACCAAAAGTAAGAAAGGTTTGTTTATAAATACTTTTGATGAATTGATTAATTGATGATAAATTGATAATCAAAATAGTTCTGAATATTTATTAATTATTTATAAGAATGAAGTTGAAAGTGACAAATTAATTGGCAAAAAGGTATAAAGAGATAGTTGAGGTTTATGAAGAAGAAGTATCTTTAGGTTTAGTTTATAAAGTAATGGAAAACAGAATAAATGATAATGACAATGATTATGTTTTGAAAATAATGAATTTATAAAAGACCTTTTAAATACATTTGACATTATGAAATAAGCTATTTTGAAGCATAATGCATCCTCTATGTCTAATAATAAGCCATTAGTTTATACTGAAAGTGCAGAATCAACTTTACGAAAGAAAAGTTATGTAAATAAGCCTGCTGCTATTGGATCAAAAAAGATTGTATCATTTTTCACATTAATAATTAAGATAAGTTCTGATGGTGAAGCTATTAACAGATTTTCTTTATCACTTGTTATTATATTATTAATACAGTCAAAGCCCTCTATACAGAATCCCCTGTTCTGAAAAATTTGGTTCATTATAGAGAGCATTTGCAATAGAGAAAGTGTAGTTAGCAGACACAATAAAATTTTTATTTTTTTGTTGCATACATGCATTACACACCACACTGCATACAGCATACACATGCTAAAAAAATCAAAGCCTGGCAGAGACTGAGACTACACCTTGTGAATATAGTAGCAACATTTTTCAGAATGTTCGCAATCATGATCACATCATCCCTCAGGCAAATACCGATTTAAACCTACCCTTTGAACAAACTGATTTGCTCCCAGACTAAGATGCACCACCACACCAACTAAGAGAAGATTCTTGCTTTTTTATCTTTTCTTTTGACATGACTTAAAAATTGCACAAGAACTTATTTCCCCATGCCACACTGCAAACTGCATGAAATCATCATCATATGTACATACCCCTCAATGTTATACCCATCTTTCTTATTTTTTTTGTTTTCAATTTCTGCAAATAAAAACAGGCAAAGCGGTTGGGTTACTATATGAATTTAACATGCAAGGATATTCTACACTTACCATGTCAAACAAATTGAAAACTACAAATTTGTACTTTATTCTCCTCCATCTTGACTGCTTTCCAGAGTTTTGTGATGTATTCATTTTCATTCAATGCTAATTTCAAAATCTTTTGTTTATTCCCCTTCTCAGTCTCCCTGTAATTTTCCCAAAATTTGTATTGTCAAGCTTCCTTTTTAGAGATTGAGAGCCTTATTGATCTGTTGGAGGATGTTGTTTAACAACAAAAATTTACAACATGCAACTTTCATTATTGACAAGAAATTTATAAATCACTTTCTCAGCAAGATTAAGAAAAGGCTCGATGACTGCTCCTTGTTCATTGTCAGTAAAAGAAAAAATTTGTCTTGCTGGCAGAGAAGATTCACGAGTGGGTTACCTTATTGTTATTATCATGGTTGTTGACGGTTTCGCATAGTCCATATACAGTAGATGAATAAAGTTGCATTTTCTTAAAATCCATAGTTTTAAACTGTTATAGGAAGCAATTTTTCATCCTTAAACCAGCCAAACACCATAATATGGGCTTAAAATTTTTACAAAAGACCTGATTGTTATATAAGATGTCACAGAGTGAGTGATCTGTAGGAAATATCTGGTGGACAAACATTATTATTATATAGCAACCATTTAGAAAGTTTTTTTGTCCATGATGAGTTTTTCTTTACTATTATTACGCATAAAATGAAAAAAATTAGAAGGGTATATGAATCCACCTCACTTTACCAACACCCACTTCACAGGCAGGACACTTTACCAACAGAACACTTTACTGACAAGGACACTTTACCAACAGGACATTTCACCAACAAGCATTGTGTTAACAATTTTCCAAGGACTGTGTGAAGACAGGACCCCACAAACTATATAGATAGGTTACTGCAGCAGCTGGATCAAATCTTATATATAGTAAAAGACCTAAAAATTTTACATACTATTAGAAAATGCGATGTTAGTGAAAATTACCAAATTTGGAAAGATCGTTTCCAATAAGCCAATCACAGCGTGATTTTGTATGTAACCCATCTATATAGTTTGCGGGGTCCTGTGAAGACCTGAATAACTCTATGTAGAAGCTAAAAGTTATGCATAAAGAGCTTGTTTTTTTTACAGACAAGTTAAATCAACTGTTGATCGAATACTGACCTCGCCTTACAAATCATTAACTAATAGCACAACTTATTATCCTCCTCACTTTGCATCAAAAACCAGTTCATAAAAATACAATATAGATACATGTGTAGTATTTTTTTGTCTGACGAAATTGTATATTCAGACCTCATGTTATTTTTAATCGTTTTTATTAAATTTTTTATTTATTAACATGCAATCAATTCAATTTATTGACCATGTTAATCTTTGTTTTTATAAAATTATTTATTAACATGTAATTAATTTATCAACTATGTTTTGATGCATGAGAATTCCGAATTTCTCAATAAAAAGTTTTATAAAAAATTTTAAATGAATATACAAAAAAAATTATTTGACTGACACACAAATATTAGAAAAAATAACATTAAAATGAAATATTATGGGCAATGCCCTGAAGAAAATTCATAATGGATCTATTGTTATAGTCATTTAATACTGTTTAAATCCATATCTCACAATCACAATCTCATTGCTTCTGTGAAAGTTGTGGTGTTCCTTGCAAAACCATTTCTATGTCAAGTTTAACTTTGCTTTGTTCCTTTTGCATCAGGAAAATGGGTACAAATATTATGCATATATAATACGCAATTGTAGGGATTAAGCATATAATATATGTACAATTTGCATACATTAAAAAATACGCGATTTGTACGCATATTATATGCTTAATCCCTGCAATTGTGTATTTATACGCATAATATTTGTACCCATTTTCCTGATGAACTTGTATCTCTTTTATGATTTTAAAAATACCTAAATGTTCACAACCTACTAATCTTCGATACCAAGCTTCCACAGAATTTATAGTACAAGGAAAAGCATATTCAATGTTGTTAGCAACTGACCAGAAGTGAGGTGGAAACATTTCTGCATCTCGAACTATATTTCCATTTCTAAGTGTAAGTCTTGTCCTGCCCATGTACATAATTATCTCCAAACCATTGCACAACTCCAACAGCTGCTGCTGGAATATAATTCTTTAGCTAATTGAATGCTGCAGGAATTTCAGTAGGAATCAAAAAAGCAAGAGCTGAAATTTGTCAAATCAATAGGCTGAAATTTTCATTTAGAATAGCAAGACCAGTAGTTTGTATTTTGTGATGGACACTTTGAGCTAAGTGAAAAAGTCATCATAGTAAAATCAATTAGTGCTCATAATCTGGAACAACTGCAGAAATAGCACAATATTTTATATACTTTCATCTGGAAAATATAAAAAAAAATTTGCACATGCCAATTGTAAGTTTAATAATAAAAAAGTGTAAAACTTACATTGGCACTGTAAGATTTACTCAATATTATGTTGGCGTCATAAGATTTATGCAAGTTTATTCTAAACTAATTTCCTGATGTTTAAATTTACTAAAATAAAAACCTGAGTTTCTTCCAGAATTGTTTTGTTTGTTTTGTCTAAAATCAAAACAAATATTATTGGCTAAAATCATGTAGATCTTTCATTTTTGGTTTTTTTATATGAAAATTTTATTAAATGGTCATAGTGCAAGACACCTAGTCCCACAACTTTTTATTAGTCATGTATATCTTTAATATTCCAAAAATGGAAATGTAACATCAAAAAAACAGATCATAGTTTTGAAGCTAAGACCTTCCTCTACAAATTTATGATTTCATTTTGTTGATATGTCACGTTACCATGGAGAAATCTAGCTTCAAAGTTGCAAAACTGTTGTGTTACATATGGTTTTTATATTAAAATCAACAAATTGGAAGAATTGGAAAATTTAAAAAATTATTTGCCGATATTTATCAAGTGACAATAACGAATATAAAAAAAAGTTAACGTCGAAATAAAATAGACAATATTGCATTGATCAAAGAAATGCATGAAGCATATAAATAGACATGCTATTCCACTTATCACCAAAAATATATTACATGGAAATATACTTGAGATAAATATGCATTATATTAGAAAGAATTGCAGTGTTTATATTTTACATCATCCATTGAAGATGAATATACACTTCCTGGTCATAAATATAAGGACACTTGCAGATCATCGGAAATAATTGAATAAAGAAACATGAAAAAA